CAACTAGTTACATTCACACTCACACACAACTAGATACATTCACACTCACACACAACTCGATACATTCACACTCACACACAACTAGATACACTCACACACAACTAGATACATTCACACTCACACACAACTCGATACATTCACACTCACACACAACTACATACATTCACACTCACACACAACTAGATAGGGATGGGTACCGAGCCCCGGTATTAAACGGGCCCCGGGGCTGAATTATTAAAGACCGTGGTACCGTTAATCTCCGACGTTATCAGTCTTTTTATCGGTACTGGAGACATCTAAAAAATATGTCATGTGTATTATTGCTACACAAACATTATATTGCAGTTTTAGTGTCGCCAACTCCGTTTCTAATACGCAAAAAGACTGCAAAATGCGTCATTTTTAGTATTTTCGATCTCTCCAATCCAGACGAGAGATCTCTCTCCCCCGTCTGTGTGCGAGGGGGCGGGGCAGTTTACACACACGCAGCTGCTACATGCAGCAACACACACACACGGAGGAGATGGCGGAGAGAACGCGTTCCGAGGTGTGGTTCAACTTTACCCGTCTCGCTCGTTGCCTAAAGTGCAATAAGAGTTTAGCATGTCAGGGCGGTAACACGAGCAATTTGTCTAAACATTTAGCAAAAGTGCACCACATTCAGACGGAGGAATGCACCGGGTTTGACTGTCTTTCTAGTAGCTCTGTTGCCCCATCCACGAGTAACGTTTCCACGTCAGGTGTTATGTATGCTAGCAGCAACACACGGAGCTAACTCAATGATACAAACATGGGTTAATGATTAGAGGGAACTGAGTTATTTAGTTTGTTAAAGTTTCAGCCATTCTGTTCACAGTTCTGTCATCAGATTATTTAATACCATTTGTTAAAACGTTGTTGTTTCTTTTGATGTGAAATATTATGTATTTAATTTAAATAAAAAGCAATGTTAGTTTTGTTCACAATTTGTTTATTTTCATTTGTCATTTAATCGTTTATTTGAATAGGGACAATGCACATTAATGAACACTTTAGACAAATAATGCTTCAAGTGTAAATATGCCGGATTTTAGCTTTGAGCTAATTTCCATTCGTAGTCCCTGACATACAACATATAGTTCGTTTACCTCATTTTTCTCTCCAAAAGAACCGATAAGAGTACCGTTAAAAGACCGGACCGATAAGCGGTATCGATAAAAGTAGTAGTACCGTTAAAACCTTAACGATACCCATCCCTACAACTAGATACATTCACACTCACACACAACTAGATCAATTCACACTCACACACAACTAGATACATTCACACTCACACACAACTAGATACATTCACACTCACACACAACTAGATACATTCACACTCACACACAACTAGATACATTCACACTCACACACAACTAGATACATTCACACTCACACACAACTAGATACATTCACACTCACGCACAACTAGATACATTCACACTCGCGCACAACTAGATACATTCACACTCACACACAACTAGATACACTCACACTCACACACAACTAGATACATTCAGACACAACTACATACATTCACACTCACACACAACTCGATACATTCACACTCACACACAACTAGATACATTCAGACACAACTACATACATTCACACTCACACACAACTAGATACATTCACACTCACACACAACTAGATACATTCAGACACAACTACATACATTCACACTCACACACAACTCGATACATTCACACTCACACACAACTAGATACATTCACACTCACACACAACTAGATACATTCAGACACAACTACATACATTCACACTCACACACAACTAGATACATTCACACTCACACACAACTAGATACATTCACACTCACACACAACTACATACATTCACACTCACACACAACTAGATACATTCACACTCACACACAACTAGATACATTCACACTCACACACAACTCGATACATTCACACTCACACACAACTAGATACATTCACACTCACACACAACTACATACATTCACACAGAACTAGATACATTCACACAGAACTAGATACATTCACACACAACTAGATACATTCACACTCACACAGAACTAGATACATTCACACAGAACTAGATACATTCACACACAACTAGATACATTCACACTCACACAGAACTAGATACATTCACACAGAACTAGATACATTCACACACAACTAGATACATTCACACTCACACACAACTAGATACATTCACACACAACTAGATACATTCACACTCACACACAACTAGATCCATTCAGACACAACACACAGGGAGGGATAATAGTACACAAAATCAGATTCAAATAAGTTTATTTAATTAGCCGAAGGAATTGAGAAAACATACAATACATGGAGTTGAAGATATTTTATCCTAATAGCATTCCTAGTTTATTTTATATTATTATTTGTTTGAGATATGTTTTTACAGATATCCCAAACTATTGGGAGTTATTTTGGTGTGGATAATAGTTTAGTGAAAAATGGAATTTGAAACTATCCCACAACTTTATATAAAATCCCAAACTGAGTCTCGCTGTCGTCTGTTTTGGTCGCGTGTTGTTTTTCATTCAGCCACAACCACCGGGAGTCACATTTGTGGAAGTACCGTCACGTGTATTTCCTCTAACGGCAGCTTAATGTTTATTTACATCAGAGCAGGATGTCAGGGCCTTATTTCACTTCTTCTAATGTGGTCCTTGGTGGAGATCTTGAAAGTGATATCAGATCAGTTAAGCTCACCATGGCCTCTTTCGTTATTAATGTTCGATTCTGTTCAAAAGTTTGAGATCTCCTGCCACAAAATCTTAATTCGGTCCAGTGAGATGTCTAACAGGACTTCTCTATATTTCTAAATGGGTTCATTCTTTTGGTTGTAGAACGCCCTCTTGTCCAATAAATGTTATTTTGTATCAAGGAATTGCAATGCTTCAAACAGACTGTAATTTGAAAGGACAGAAAGACAAATATATATTTATTTGTAATAATACAAACAAATCTGCAGATTTTGGTAAAAAGAAAATGGAAGTTCAGTATCAAAATGTGTACGCATTTAAATAGGAACAGGTTCTTGTTTCAGTGTCATGTGCACAACAATAATGCATCCAACAAGCTGGAATTAACAATATAAACAAAAGGTTAGTCCAGGGTTACAGTCGAATAGTCCAAAAATCAGCTCCTAAGTTCTAACCCTATCGTCTATTCCTTGACCTCTTGAGTGAAACGTCATGGGGTTAAGGGATAGTGGATAGGAGAATTCAAAAGGACTTAGGAGAAGAGACTGCGGTACTTTAGAGAATCCGACTGCACTTTCACTATCCGACGTGTTTATGATGCGCCAGCGGAGGTCATAAATGTGCGTCTGCTGCTGTGGGGAAACTATGGAAACTACAGTTTTCTATACAGCGGACTACAACATGGATGTTTAATAAGAACGAGGGACTACTGTAAACTCATCTAGAGACTCTGCACCGTGCTCTGATGCTGTTGCTTTATGCTTTAAGAACGGGGACAACAGAGAAACATATTCTTCATGACCAAAGTTGGAATTGAAATAAAAAAGGAAAGTGAAACTTATGCTCGTCACCCTCTCCCTCCGGTCCACATTAATACAAATGATCCCAATACGTATGATTGTATGAAAAGATCTTAAAATCAATACAAATGTATTTATTATAAACGTTAGTCCTTAACATCTATCACTGTGTATATCACCATTCAAACATCTTTTAAAAGTTGAACAAACCCCACACAGCTCAGTAAAGACTGTGAAATGTTGACTTTATTTGATCATTTCAGTAAAAACTAACGTTCATATTTCTCTTTTTGATTATAATACTGATGAACGTTCAAAACAAAGCACTTTGGCAACTTACCACATACGTTTTGAACCGTAACTTTCATGATATAATTTCTCGTTCATAATCGGTTGTTTCCGTGAACGGCCGACTGTTGTGTGACGGCAAATGCTGCGGCCGCAAGGCATTGTGGGGCAGCATTTTCTCCTCTCCTTTAGGTCAGGGAGGTCCAGTGGTTCCTAAGCTAAAGGAGGTTATAAAGGGAGTTTGACCTCCTTTCCTTTCATCTAGAGAATTTGAACGGCACTTATCATGGCTGCCACTGAGGTACTCCCGGGTCATTTCACTCCGTTAGGAAGGTTCCTAAGCTAAATGGACTATTCGACGCAACCCAGGTTTAGCACTGGTTAGAATACCAGCTGGACATAAGATGGACTGACAAACCACATTTTAAACTTCGTCAATGAAACCACTGAGGAGACTGCAGAAGACCCAAAGACAAAAGTTAATACTCAGTGCAAAATTGCAGCGTAGTGGATACATAATAAAATAATATGTTCAATATAATAATCGAGGGTCGCAGACGCTGGAGTGGAGTGGAAAACAATGTTGTCCCCTGTCATGCAACATTATAGGGACCTCAACTAAACTAATGTTTGAATTATTTAATTCTGCTTTTTAGGGTGAAAGCTGTTTGAAATGTAGATAACATTATTATTATTAACAACTCTGCAGTTTTGACAGTTAAATGTAAACGTGTGCCAAATGACTCGCAGATGGTTGCCTCACAGCCACTCGCACACACATTATGTCATTGTTGTGGAAGTTCTTCAAAGTTGGGGAAAAAGACGTGAAATCCAAAATAAAATGCTGACGAAAAAACACGCATGTAACTTGATGCAGTTTGAATGGTCATGAATATCATTTTATTTCTGTTTTCTATAATTGAAAAGTTACAAACATTGTGCATTGTAGTTCTTAGAAAGATTTTGATATTTTAGTGTCAAATGATTTTTTACCACTATATATAAACTACTATAAAAATGCCATTGTTAAAGGACAGAAGAAAAACATCAATAGAACAGCTGATTACAAACTGAACACTGTCAATGAAAGTGTTTTTTGTTACTTCCATTTTGCTTTTAATAGAAAACATTGTTGTTAAATCCGTCCCATGTGGTGTGTTCAGGTGCTGGAGGACAACGACTACGGCCGGGCGGTGGACTGGTGGGGTCTGGGCGTGGTGACGTACGAGATGATGTGCGGCCGCCTGCCGTTCTACAACCAGGACCACGAGAAGCTGTTCGAGCTCATCCTCATGGAGGAGATCAAGTTCCCCAGAACTCTGTCTGCAGACGCCAAGTCGCTGCTGTCAGGGCTGCTCATCAAGGACCCCAACAAACGGTACACACACACACACACACACACACACACACACACACACACACACACACACACACACACACACACACACACCGTTGCTGTCAGGGCTGCTCATCAAGGACCCCAACAAACGGTACACACACACACACACACACACACACACACACACACACACACACACACCGCTGCTGTCAGGGCTGCTCATCAAGGACCCCAACAAACGGTACACAGACGCACGCACAGACACGCACACGTATACACACACACAGATACACACCCACACGTACACACAGACGTGCACACACACACACACACACACACACACATTAATATTGTGGTGTTAAACACACCGTCTCCTGGCTTTCACAGTAAAGGGAGAAAATATGGCGTTATGCAGAGAAATATCAGTCAATAAATCCACCTTACTTTATTTATATTGCACGTTTCCTACAAAAAAGGTAACAAGAAAGTGCGTCACACACCAATATACATATTACATTACTTTTTGAACATAATGATATTGATGTAATTTGAACATTGAACTAAACAGACACAAAAGAAGTAATAACTACATGTTTAAAAAACGAGTGGCTTTAAATTGTCCTAAAGCATCAGTCTACACATTGGTTTTAAATAAGTAAGATATATTTAACACACACACACACACACACACACACACACACACACACACACACACACACACACACGGGGAGGGATAATAGTACAAAACCAGCACTTTAAGGTTTAGCAAAAAAAGAAACATATTGACCGCTCACGCCCCAGTTTCTTATCCACAGAATAAAAGATATATTTGGTTTTATTTCCCAGAATTCAGCAGTTAATGCCCGTTTAAACCTCCACCACATCGTTATCAGAGAACAGACCTCCTCGTGATAACTGGTGTTCAGTAAAGTGCCGTTTCACAGATCTGCTGCTGCTAATTTCCCTCTGATTGTCCCGGAGGCGTCTCTGCCTCTAATGAAGAAACAGCTTCGCAGCGAACTCGCTCACCCGGCGGTTATTTTGGGATGCGTAGCAGGTGGATATTCTGGGTCTATTGATGGAGACTTTGTTGGAGCAGGTTTTGATGTGTTCTTCTCTGTGTTCTGACAGGCTGGGCGGCGGGCCGGATGACGCGAAGGAGATCATGAGACACAGCTACTTCAATGCAGTCGACTGGCAGGACGTCTACGACAAGAAGGTGAGAGCAGGAGACAGCGGAGAGTTATTCTAAAACTGCCTACCTGAGATATTCTGGGATCAGGGTTACCTCATTATTCAAAAAAAGCCTGGCTGTTAAAAGCATTAACTCCAGAATAGAAAAACAATTACCTCATCTTTACGCAAGTAGAAGAACAATAAGCAGTCCAAACAATCCTCTAAAAAAAAAAATGTCTTCGTTTAACTTGAAGGAATGCAGCGTGTACAGATATGAAATAAAACAAACCTTATGTTTCCTTTCATTGCCTCATGTTTTTATTTGTGTGTGTATGTTTTATGCATACTTGTATTTAATGTAAGGTTTCTTTGTGAAATTATAATAGAACAATATCAATTAAATGTATACTTTTTTAGATTGATTTTTTTTAAAGAATCCACCTGATTGGTTGGTTTGGCTTTCAGTCGATTAGTAACTGGTTAGTTAAAGTCCTGCATTCAAAATAAAAAAAACCTAAAGAACCTACTTTTGTATAAGTAAAAAAAGTACTTACATCAAAGTATATTTAAAGTGGACCTATCATGCTATATTTGAATAATATAGTGTAGGACCATACCTATATAAGGCATATTTATACTTTTTTTTTTTTCAAAATACCAAACAGATCATGCATTTTAGCCATGCCTCATTTCGCTCAATTTAAAAAAAATGTAGCTCTGTTTTTGCAAGGGTTGATTCAGTGAGAACAGCACCATCTACAGGCCTGGCATATGTACTACAGCGTCTCCAGCGCTTTCGAACGACAATGGCCGTGGCTGTCTCCTCCTGATTGGTGGAGTTGGCCCAATAGCCGTAGCGCCACCGTCCTGACGTCAGGACAGTGTTCAAATCTGGATCAGTTTTTATCAGATCCGTTGCAGCCCCTTTTTTAGAGATTTGGGTATGGAGGAAAATAGAGAGGGTTGTGTTTTCTGACACTTGGTGAGTTCCCTGGAACACCGGGGACACATATTCATGTAGAAAAGACGTACAAAAGTGCATTTTGCATGATAGGTCCCCTTTAAAGTACCAGATATAAAATTACTCGTTATGCAGGACGGCGCAGTTCATAATTAATAATCCCAAACTATAACGCTGGGAAAATGTAAAATATATTTATATATGTTGGGGAATAATTCCCATAGATGTTTACCTTTTGCCCTCTGACGTTTATGACCTTGGCATCTGTTATCTCCCTTAAGAGGGGGGCTGCATTAGCCATATGTTGTTGTGGCCAGTTTATGACCGGGCATCTTTCGGTCAAACATAGTTCATTGTTATGGGGACATATGGAACGCTTCCTTCTCGTCTCCAAGGTTGGAAATCTTCGAGGCCATTAGGCGTCAGTTGCAAGTAATTCAGTGTCCCCAGCTGTTTAGTCTATCTAGTGAAGAATGTGGATTACCCTCCTCCAAACTAGTTCAAACATCATGTGAGAGGAAGGGTTCTTCAGAATTGATTGTGGCAACTCATCCGTGTGGTCAGATCGTGGCTCTATGACATGTCTTGTGAATTCTCCGGCCGAAGCTCCAAATAAACCGTCGGTGTTTGCCATCAAAGCTCCAGCTCTCCTCGTGTCTCTCTGAGTCCTGACTCTCCATTGCTTCAGAAGTTTCCCCCACAATATAGATTATTTGTTTTTGTTTTGCAACTACTGTCAAGATTGCTTTGGCGACACATGCCATTAAAGCCTTTTGAATTTAATGTAGTTTAATAAATATATTGATTAACAATTCCATGTATTTTTTTATCCTCACAGCAAACTCAGCTTTAATAACTGTCTGTTTCTTCCTGTCTCCGTCTACTTCCTGTCTCCGTCTACTTCCTGTCTCCTTCTACTTCCTGTCTGGTTGCAGCTGGTCCCTCCTTTCCAGCCGCAGGTCAGCTCAGAGACGGACACACGCTACTTCGACGAGGAGTTCACAGCACAGACCATCACCATCACTCCGCCGGAGAAATGTAAGCTCCTCCTTCTACCTGAACATATTTGGCTTTCAACATTTGCAGAAAATGTAGTTATGAATAACTGGTCTAGCCTTTGAACAGTCGTTATACACCAACTGCAAAACTATTAAGGTGTGTCATCTATGAAGGAAACTGGTGTGCAGTAGATCATGGTTTTGTTAGTCTGAAAGTGAGCTAAAATGATAAATATGTACCTGTCATTCAAATAAAACGTAGCTGAAACGTTCAATGGACACCAGTTAAGACAGACCTCTGCTATGACCAGGATTTATTTTAAGCGTGTTTAAGCTTCACAAAAAAATGATGTTCATGTCTGTCTGTACCCCAAAACAACTACCATCAGCAACTTCAATCCAAAATATTGGTAAACTTGTATCATTATTATAAGTCAGTGGCTCAGTCAGTAGGGGCTTGGACTGTGAGCTGAAAAATATTATACTCACTTACTCACTTTAATAATGTCATTGTGTGATTCTTATTTACTAATGTTTATCTATATGTACTACTTCTCACTTGACTTGTGAACATCAAACAATAGAGATCCATCCAATCAAGATATTGCCTTTTATAGTCGGTCAAACAAAGTCCTAATCACATGACACACATACACACATGGTAAAATGGATGGACTGTACTTATTAATGTATATATATTATCAGGTCTGTTTGACCCCTTACAGCGCTTTACATAATACGAGTCATTCACCCATTCACACCTCATTCTGACAGAGCAGTGCACCTTGCTCTAGGGAAGCTAACAGTCACACACACACACGCACTCGCACACACACTCTCACACTCACACTCACACACACACTCTCACACTCACACTCACACACCCCACTATAGAGGTGAGGAGGAGTCCCGTATCTCACACACACACACACACACACACACACACACACACACATGTTTTATGTTCTCCTCTGACTCTCCTCCTCTCTGTCTCTCCTGCAGACGATGAGGACGGGATGGACGCGGCGGACAACGAGCGGAGGCCTCACTTCCCACAGTTCTCGTACTCAGCCAGCGGGCGGGAGTGAGCCCGTCCCCATCCGTGGCCATTTTTGAGGAAAACACGTAGCCATTTTAGGAAAAAAAAAATACCAGTCTCCCCTCTTTTTCTCCTGCTCTGCCTCCTCACAGACGGGGAGGAGTCTTTTTAGGGACTTTAAAAAGAGGTTTTTGCACAGTGGGATAGACTCCAGCCGGTCTCCCCACACTAAAAAAAATAAGTCTCCTACATTTTCAGCGCTATTTACTGCAGAAGGCAATGTTTTTGTTATTTATTTTTTCTCTCCGTCAGTATTAAGTTGTCGACCCGGGTCATCTCTTTTTTTTTGTTGTTGGTTGTTCTGCCCTTATTTTCTTAAAATCTTCTTTTGACTTTTTTGCACTTGGTTTGGAAGAGCCGTTTTAGGGAACAAAAAACCAAAAATGTTGCCTTACGTGTGCAGATGTTTCGTATCATACCGACAGGGTGTTTTCTTTTGTTTTTCGGGGAGAGGGCGGGCGGGCGGGGTTTCGGGGGTTGTGAGAGGGGAGGGGAGGGGGGGGGTTATTCTTAGTTGAGAATAAGTGCATGGCTCGTGGTTCACTAAAAAAAAAATGTTTCTTTCTCATGCATTTGCCATGGCAGCGCACATTCCCCCAAATCCCATGGCAATGAAATCACTGTCTGCAGATAAACTTAAAAACAAAAGAAGGACGAGGACGGACGAGTCTGTGTCATTCCTTTCATCGTTGCAGTGTTACTACTTTCGTATTTTTTCAGCCTCATGTGTTTTTTTGCGCTTTTACTTCCAAGTTTGTTCTTTTATTTTGAAAACAGGAAACACTAAACTGCCAGAAACTGCACAGTTCACTCAGGCGCCACAGAGCACAACCGCGTTCAAACTCAGCTAACCGCTCCAGCTTTCCACAGCCGGCAGGGGAACGAGGCCTTCTCTGCTTTCTCACCGCTTCTCCTCCTCTTCCTCTTCTTCTTCTTCCTCCTCCTCCTCCTCTTCTTCACCTCCGCTCTTTGTTTCCTCATCGTAGCTGTAGGACTAGTGGAATGGGTGTTTACACAGGGAAATGTGGCTTAATGTATGTATGTACTGTATGTATGTGGGACATGGGGGTCAACTTTATGCTGTCATAGCACACACACACACAAACACACACACGCACACACATATATTTACACTCAGAAACAGGAAACAGCTGTGACTAAAGTTGGCAGTTTACTCCGAACAAAAGCAAATTTGGTGTTTTCTGAAATGAACGGCATATCAGATCACTCACTGCAACTTAAGGCGTGTGTTTAAAAACACATTTGAGACGAAGCTGGAGTTTGCAAGTTGCTTCAAGACGACGCTCTCTGATAATGTGGTGATCCACAGTAGCTAGGTTTCCATGCAAATGCATTCGTACATTTCGCTGAATTTAGAGAAAAATCTGTGCCCGTTCCCATACACTACCGTTATGCGATTTATGGGAAGTTTGGTTGGTAGAGATCAGCAGTAGGTGGTGCCAATTCCTCATTCAGAAAACCATTATGGCATTGTGGAAGAAGAGGATGCAACAAGATGACGTGATTTAAAACATCGGTCAGTGTCAGGCTCACTAACAATTAGCATTTCCTGTGTTTCCGACTCCAAAAGAAAAGTTGTTTTGCCAGTTAAAGGCTTTTATTGAGAAGCTGCAGCAGTGGGACACGTTCAGTTTGCATTAGATGCTACTCTTTGGGGAATGTTGCCACAGACACCAAGTTTGTTATCTTGCAAATGTAAAAAATACTACAATACTTTAATCAGCGGGACGTAGGCTTAATCACAATTTGAATACCTCTTATGGTGATAGCGATTTCACAGACAATTATTTAAATAGAAATCTTTTAAATTGAGACTTTAATCTGCTTCAGTTAAATGTTAGAGCGGCAGCGGCTCATCCAGCTTCAGCTTCATGTCAACTACAACCAATGGTAGTTTAGAAACACATCCAGGCATTATTAGCTCCAACCTAGAGAGTCCTGCCCTCTAGTGGTTTGGTCTAGCTCTCCTGTTGCTGTTAAACTCCTGCATTTCACCACGGGGATTCTTCTTATCTTATCTCTTAGTGGTTTGAGAGAAAGACAAGAAGACCCTTCACTGAAGAGTAGTGAAATATCTATTTGTTTTTCAAAAGAAAGATAATTAAAACTAGATTATTTTTCATACCAAATGAGCAGGAAATGCTGTTTCCAGCCTCAGAGATGGAGATGTCCTGCTCTTCTCTGCTTTAAACACATTAAAGTGAACATCTATGGCTTTTGGATTGAATACACAAGACATTCAAAGACATCATCTTGGACTTTGAGAAACTGGGATGGACAGTTTTCCCTTTTCTTCTGACGTTTTAGAAAGCAAACGATCAATCTAGACAACAGTTAGCCGATTAATCCATAATGTCAATAATCACAGCCTTAAATCTGAACCAAAACAAACCGTATATCAAAACTGAATCTGACGTTTCGGTTGAGTATTGATAATTCACCTTGGAAGAAAAGAAAAACACGTCAAAGTGAATTTGTTTTGGAGAAAACTGTCCACTTAATATAATCTGCTGCTCGCACTCTTCAGGGTTCCTGCACACTTTCAGAAAGGTTCATTCAGAGGAGGGGATTTGGGGGATTTCCAGGTCTTTAAACGCTGTTTGTAATTGCTGAAGTTATTGGAAATAATTGTTTTCTTGACGTCCATGTGTACAAGTGATGAGACAAATATGACTGTGAAACATATCGAACAGCGAGGGAAGTTCTACTGGTTTTTTATTGTGTGTGTGTGTGTGAACAATTTGGATCTGTATTGGAAGTGTGTAGGAACCCTGACAACACACACACACACACACACACACACACACACGTCATTCATACTCACACACTGATAACAAAGAGACTGTTTTTAGACGGTAGATCAGAGTGAAGGAAATGTAATTTATCACACGGACACTAACAGAATCGTGGCTTCCAGATGCAGGCCTTCTGTCCTGTCAGTATTATGAGATACATTTATACACACACACGTTTTTAAACCTAAAATGGTATCAATAAATCACTTATCATGTCACGAGAAAAACTGAGCCGTGAGACACTCCTGTATGAAGACTGTGAGGACTGCCAGAAAAAAGTCGCCCCAAAACTCCTCGATGTAAATATGCAATGCCTTTTCTTTTTTTCTTCTTCTTCTTGGGTCTATCGTGGCATCTTGACAGACATAAAACATTTGTTTCTGTGTGACTGTACTTCAAGCTTGCTGATGAGAATAGTGACCGAAAAAAACAACCACGACTCAAAAAACTGCATTTCAGAGAAAAAGAGGAGGGAAAGACAGTGTCGAAGACTGGGACCCTTCTGCTGATTTTTTTTGTGGGTCGGTGATACTCATTATGGGATGTTTCCCGCCTGTTGACTCCTGACTTCCTGTGAGAGGACGTGACTGTAACTGTGGAGTCTGCACTGTCGTTTCTGTCCCCTGCACCCTCTTTAAAAACTAAAAAAAAATACAAAAAAGTGGGACCATGGATTACCTTTTTTTTTTTTTTGCAGTGCTGGTTTCATCAGGTTGTTCCAATCCCATCATTCCCCCCCATCCCAGCCCCCCCATTCCCAGCCCCCCCATTCCCAGCCCCCCCCATCCCAGCCCCGCCCCTCTTTTTGTACCATAGTATTCGTTTTATTTATGTTTGTCATTCTAGGCAGTGTTACCTTGTATGTCGTTAAAAAAGGCACCTCTTGAAAGTCGCTGAAGGATGATGATGATGATGATGATGGATGCATTAACTGAAGTCTTTTTTTTTCTTTTTTTTTGGATCGTTTGCTTGTTTGTTTTCTTACCAAAACATTAGGGCAAGAACCCAGTAGTGGACTTGCGTTGCCGTGGTAGTATTTATTTTGAATTAAATTAAAAAGAAATACATTTCAGGGTTTCTGCTGTCGTGACTCTTTATTTCAGCTGGATTTATTCCGTGTAATTGTCTTTTTTTCTTTCCTTCATATCAAAAAAATGTAAAATTATAGTTTAATTAAAGAGGCCCTATAATGCTTTTTGAGGTTTTCCCTTTCCTGTAGTGTGTCTGCAAAGGCTCACATCCTAGGGTTCCCTCCAGTTTCAGCACAGGCTGGAGAGACACTACATCCTGATATACACCTGAACATCAGCAGGAGAGGACTCTTTAAAGTAGAGACACTACATACTGATATACACCTGAACATCAGCAGGAGAGGACTCTTTAAAGTAGAGACACTACATACTGATGTACACCTGAACATCAGCAGGAGAGGACTCTTTAAAGTAGAGACACAACATACTGATATACACCTGAACATCAGCAGGAGAGGACTCTTTAAAGTAGAGACACTACATACTGATATACACCTGAACATCAGCAGGAGAGGACTCTTTAAAGTAGAGACACTACATACTGATATACACCTGAACATCAGCAGGAGAGGACTCTTTAAAGTAGATACACTACATACTGATATACACCTGAGCATCAGCAGGAGAGGACTCTTTAAAGTAGAGACACTACATACTGATATACACCTGAACATCAGCAGGAGAGGACTCTTTAAAGTAGAGACACTACATACTGATATACACCTGAACATCAGCAGGAGAGGACTCTTTAAAGTAGAGACACTACATACTGATATACACCTGAACATCAGCAGGAGAGGACTCTTTAAAGTAGAAACACTACATACTGATATACACCTGAACATCAGCAGGAGAGGACTCTTTAAAGTAGAAACACTACATACTGATATACACCTGAACATCAGCAGGAGAGGACTCTTTAAAGTAGAAACACTACATACTGATATACACCTGAACATCAGCAGGAGAGAACTCTTTAAAGTAGATACACTACATACTGATATACACCTGAACATCAGCAGGAGAGGACTCTTTAAAGTAGAAACACTACATACTGATATACACCTGAACATCAGCAGGAGAGGACTCTTTAAAGTAGAAACACTACATACTGATATACACCTGAACATCAGCAGGAGAGAACTCTTTAAAGTAGATACACTACATACTGATAAACACCTGAACATCAGCAGGAGAGAACTCTTTAAAGTAGATACACTACATACTGATATACACCTGAGCATCAGCAGGAGAGGACTCTTTAAAGTAGAGACACTACATACTGATATACACCTGAACATCAGCAGGAGAGGACTCTTTAAAGTAGAAACACTACATACTGATATACACCTGAACATCAGCAGGAGAGGACTCTTTAAAGTAGAAACACTACATACTGATATACACCTGAACATCAGCAGGAGAGGACTCTTTAAAGTAGAGACACTACATACTGATATACACCTGAACATCAGCAGAATGGGACCCCTTTAAAGACAAAAACTTTGCAGAGCAGATTCAAGCAAAACTAAAGAACTAAATGTCATCTCTTTACTGTTAGAACCATAACAACAATCTAAGTATATATTATCTTGAAGTAGGGTGTAAATCAATTGGTTTAAAATGATAGCATCAAATAACTGAACAATATGATATTGGCTGATATGACAGTCTGACTTCTGAGGGGCTGCAATCAAATTACCCATTTTACACCTTGTCCAACTGCATTGATTAAATAGTCTCTTTAATCATTAAAATCTATTTAGATTGATGGATCATTACACCCCCTTATTTTGAAGAAGATTTTAGAAATATTTAGAGGAAATATCAAGAATGTTGGTTTCGCCAATAATTCATTTTACTTTACAATAATTTGTTGATAGAGATTTAGAAAATCCCCTTTAATGATACGACTTGCTGTTACGCAACAATTATGGTTTGATTTCCCCCTCAGTTTCTCATAAGAGATGTTTACTCTGTGAAGCAGTCGTTATAAGATCTCAAATTAAAGGTGGGGTAGGTAATTTTGGAAAAACCAGCTCGAGTGTGCTAGAATTTGAAAATACGCAGCCGAAAAAAATCTGCCACTTCGTTCAGACTTCCTTACAGAGCCCCTCCTCCAACACACACGAACGCGCACATGACCAATGAGGGCACGAGATAAGTTTGTGCACAGATGGAAGGCTGACAGGCAGGTAGGCCATCCAGTTATTTTAGCCGGGCCGGCTCAGATGATTGGTCGTGCTTTTCACAGTACTACGGCTTCCACAGGTGAAATTTTTTAATGGATTTATTGTCAAAGCATTTAATATATTCATTGCTATCGGGATGTTAAGAGCATTCCATGGAATATAACCAAAAGTGTTTCTGAAATAAATTACATACCCCACCTTTAAGCAAGATTAAACTTGAGAGTACAGAAAATAAAACTGGAGACGACACCATGGGATCAAAATCAAATCTGGCATTTAATGCAGGTTTTACAGGACTGCTATCAAGGCTTTACACTTACAGTCTTGTTACAGAAAATAATCACAACAGAGAAACTAGGGCTGGGTGAAATAACCCTGTACCAGGTAGTAATAAAACCTCCACACCTGTGTTCAATGTGCTTTAAACTCACATGATGGGTATCGAATAAAGTAGAAATAAAAAGGAATCAAATAAAGAACTCTACTTGTGCTGGTGTTGTACATTTTCAAACGACAACCAGCTGTAAAGATGATCACTAGAAAGTGTGATTGAACATTTTCTGTGATAAAACTAAAGAAGCAGTCCCTGGAGTTTTGATGAAAATGCAGCTGGTAGGTGCTGCTTCCTCTTCACCTCTCAAACAGCTGTTCAGTCTCACTCTCTGGGGACGTTTCGTGGTGCGTTCAGGGACAACGGTTCCACACAGAAACAGAATTGGTCCGTTCTCACAGCTCAGAACCAGGACTCTCACTCTGGGATAGACGGAGGCCAGTCCACATCCACAGACTGAGGAGGGAGGAGACACACACACACAAAATGTTTGCTGGGTTACAAGGCAGTGATCATCAAAGAGCATATTTTGCTAAATAAAGGTTTGTAAATTGCCGATTGTTTCAATGTTATGTCACTAGGGGTCATCGCAGTCATCTTCTCCCATCAAGGATTCCTTTATTATTCCTCTTTAAGGAGATTTGTAATGGGAGGCGAATCATCCACAGAGGTGTCATAAACATACCCACTGATCATAACCACAATGAAACAGTTTCACCGTTAAAAAAAAATCAGTGTTTTTCTAAATTAAGTTTGGCCGGCACAGGACGTTCCTGAGGAGCTGCTTAATGGATGCCACTAAGTTTTTCTAAGATTGTTTTTCCTAATCATTTAATATCCAGATGTTCAGGAGGTTTTTACAGGGAGTCACACTACCCACATGTCGTCTCCTCTCGAGAACATTGGACCCTGAAACATTGAACAAAGCCGTTTCAGGTTGAACTATTGTGATGCTGTTTGGCTGAAGCTCACTGTAGGTGCCATAATGCTACTTAGCCCAAGTTCATTATTTGTATTATTTGGTTACGTCACTGTTATTTGTTTGTTGAGCACTTACGGTAATTGTCACATGGGTGTGGTTTGTCTATCACCTGTTTCATGACAGAGGGTGAGCTTGTGCTGTCATTTTGACCGTTTTGTCCATAGTTACTGTGTTTTGATTTTGTTTATTACATTTCGTAAAACTATCTTGCTTCAGTATGGACTTTCTCTTTGTGAACGCGTCACAGTTTGTCGCCAAGCTTAGCCTCTCGGCGACTCTAACTGAACTGGAAATTGAGCCGCCACACTCACCTTTCCTCCGCTTGTTCCTCTAATAACTTCATATCCAGACACTCAATGACTCAAACCCTTCATCAGGTTAAGATATAGGTTTAAAAGCATGCAAAATGTTTTATTAGTTTCCCCTCACCTCCACGTCGAGCTCCAGGATGTCCGTGTCTGTTTTCAGCAGCTCACAGAGGTTCGGTTTGGTGCGGCCGAAGTCTCCGTGGACGAACTCTTTGATGTAACTGAGCGGACGTTCAGGAGCATTTCGTCAACAAACAATCAGAAAACGTTAATTAAAAAAGTACTTTCCCTAAAGGCGGTTTAAGGAAAAAAAGTAAGCGTCATGTTTACGTTACGTGAGGATATGTGTCGGAAAACATTGTTACTGTTAATATGTACATTAATTATGTGACCATCTATGTTTCCTGTAGTTATTGAATTGCTCTTTTTACGGCACTGTTAGTGTACAGTTTTATTATTATTGTGCTGCTGTGTTTATTCGGGATGAATAAAACCCATCTTATCTTATTGATAAAAAAAGTACATTTACTTTCCCTAACGGAGGTTTAATGATCTGTAATCTCCAGAATGTAGGGAATATGTACAGAAGTATACAACCTTAATCATGTACAGAAGTAAACAACGGAAGATTCTCGTATCTTCCTGATCCTTTGAGTGGAGGAGAACACAGCGTGACGTGAGGATACGTGCCGGCCTGCGTCTTCATCTCCAGGTAGAAGTGATGCGAGTCCAGGAAGCGAGTCTTCATGCTGTGAACGACTCGAGGACGGACTGCCAGCGCCCGCCGGTGCAAAACCCTCAGAGGAGTCTTCTGATCCAGAGTCAGATCCTGGAGGGAACAACTGTAATTATTGTGTGTTTTTGTATATTTTAAGTTTTTTATGTTGTCTTTAAAGAGTCTTTGAGTACCATGATAAGCACTATATAAATATAATAGATAGAGATAGAATAGAATGGGAGGGATGAGACCCTCTTTAATGGTCTCACATGCAGAGCACACAGCACACACAGTGACATGTGTTCTCTGCTTTTAACCCATCATAGTACCAGGAGTCTAGTACTAGGAGCAGTGGGCAGCTAGTGTACAGCGCCCGGGGAGCAATGGGAGTGGGGGGGAAAGGGGGATGTCCGGTGCCTTGCTCAAGGGCACCACGGCAGGGCAGGAGGTGAACTGGGACCTCTCCAAGTAGAAGTCTGTACTCCATGTTTAGGTCTGGTCGGGGACTTGAACCGGCGACCCTACAGCTCACAGTCCAAGCCCCTACTGACTGAGCCACTGCCGGACGTAACATGTATTATTGCTATTATTACCACTGATTTCAATTGGTGGTCGCTCAGTACCTCTATTGGAGATTTGCAACCTTTTAAAATCCAGTTACAAACTCAATTTAAAAACATTTAACACCACGTTTAAAATGTGGAGTAAAATTCAGCTTCTAAACTTGACGTACAACTGATCATCACACAAATTCTAATTGACCAAATATAAATGTAGCACTTGGAGAGGACTGCCACAAAAACAGAACATTACAAAATGTGGGGAAACATAAAAAGGGGAACAAATAAAATAAAGGGAATGTATAAAATAAAGGAATAACGTGTGTGTGTGTGTGTGTGTGTGTGTGTGTGTGTGTGTGTGTGTGTGTGTGTGTGTGTCTGTGTGTCTGTGTGTCTGTCTGTCTGTGTCTGTGTGCGTGTGAGTGTGTGTGTGTGTGTGTGTGTGTGAGACCTTGATGTCGTCCATGAAGGCGATGTCTTCACTCTGAATGGGTTTCAGGGTCCAGACGAGCGCCGTGTACGACTTGGTTTTGTCCTCCTCGCCCTCCTTCATCTTCCCCATGGCCTCCCTGAGGGAAACACAGCCGTCAGCTTCTGTGCTTTACATTAAATATTATAGATAATCATTCATTAACTGAAGCTAAATATTTAACAACGCAGGTGCAGGAAGGAAAATGATAGTAAGGTTAAATATTCTCAGGAACTGGAAGTCACCTGCTTTTCAGTTATTGTTAAAGTGGACCTATCATGCTATATTACAATAATATAGTGTAGGACCATACCTATATAAGGCATATGTATACTTTTTTCTTTTCAAAATACCAAACAGATCATGCATTGACATTTTTTAGATCTGTTTTAGCAAGGGCAGATTCTGTGAGAACAGCACCACCTACTGGCCTGGCATATGTACTACAGCGTCTCCAGGGCTTTCGAACGGCAATGTCCGTGGCTGTCTCCTCCTGATTGGTGGAGTTGGCCCAATAGCCGTAGCGCCACCGTCCTGACGTCAGGACAGTGTTCAAATCTGGATCAGTTTTTATCAGATCCGTTGCAGCCCCTTTTTTAGAGATTTGGGTATGGAGGAAAATAGAGAGGGTTGTGTTTTCTGACACTTGGTGAGTTCCCTGGAACACCGGGGACACATATTCATGTAGAAAAGACGTACAAAAGTGCATTTTGCATGATAGGTCCCCTTTAAAGTGAAAATGGAAAATTGGCTTAAGTTTGGGATGTTTAGTGTTTTAATAAGTCTTAAAAGGTAAGGGTAAGGTGGAAGCAACAGAATCCAAAGCACTGTGAGGTGGATTTTACTGGTTTTAAAAGTCGTTATCTGTGCTGAGGATCCTTTTACTTATTTTTTTAAATGATTTGTTATTCTACAAAGACAAACATTGGATGTATTGACTTGTCACAAAGGGTTAGGAGCACTGTTCGAAATGGGGGGGAGCCAGGGGGAGCTTGGCTCCCCCGAAGAGGGAGGGAGCTCCCCTGAAGGCCGACTTTGAGATAAATAGGGGGAGCCCAAAACAATCGTGCATATTTGTGTCACACAGATTAGAAATGTTGAGTTTCTGTAAATAACAATTCTTGAAATAAATAATAGTTATTGTTCATTACAGTTTCTGAATATTTGTTTTATATTTGTGAATATTTCTGGGTGTTGCCATCTGCACGTGGCGGCGCTGCATTCTTTACGCTACTTATGTTGCTATGGTTACGGCGGCGATGCCGGAACGGTATTTGAAATGTTCATATTGATATTTTTTTAACTCTGGCTTTGTAATAAAAAATATGGCAAAACGAAAACAGCCAAGCGTTGCAGCTTTTGGATTCACAAGCAAAGAAGCGAAGGAGTCTAAAAATGACAACGTGAACGGAACAACTTTTAGTTGGCCGGCTGTAGCAGCGTTAGGGTCGAGTTTGACAGCTCCACACCGAGGGAGAGGCCTGCCGATGCGGAGCCTGAAGAGGCTTCAACAACGGCCACAGCCGCCGGCGTAGTGACACCGCCTGTAGTAGTAGCAGAGTGATTTTATAGCAATTGATCGAATCCGCGCTGCTGCGCCAGTCAACAGAGCGTGCGTGTGACATATTTAGTAGCAGGATGTGCACTGAAAAATAGGGCTCCCCCGAAAGCAAATGGGTAATTCGAACACTGGTTAGGAGCGAGCATTGGGGGAGAAGATCATATGTATTGTAGGTGATGTATTTCTGTTATGAACAAGACGATAATAAAAGGTATTATTTTACAGTTTCATATTTTCTCACCTGGACACAATCTGCAGGTCTCTCACTTTGATTTTGTCTGAAGAATTGTTGATTGTCTAAAAAACAAAACAAGACAAGGTTAGTGGTCGAATATAACATTTGAGGACACAAACGCAGCGTGTGTGTAGCTGTCACTAATGAGAGAAGGATTATGAGTTTAAATCAGCTTCTGTTGAAACCCTTTGTTCCAGAGGGAAATGTCTTAGATCTTAACGACTCCAAGTAAAACAAAAAGTAATCAAATTCTGGCTGAAGTTGTTCAGATATTAAGCTTGGAAACAAAGTGTTAACTCCCCCTAATGAGCATCAGAGAGGAGATATAAGGGAAGTGTTTAATCTGTAGTTTGTGAGCTGATGAAGATGAAGATGACCTCCTGCAGCAGCTTCATCTCCGCTCGGCTCAGTTTGGATCTGTGAGGATTCAGCAGCTCCATCGCAAACGGACGACCTGACAATTCAGAGAAACATGTAAAAACACTTCATTTGTTATGCAGTAATAAAAAGCTCCTCACAACACGAGGAAATAAGCCATTCTGATAAATACGTACTTTTTAATTCAGGACTTATAATTCAGGGTTTTTAGACTGTTTTCTTAAATAAATAATATCTTCTTCTCTTCTCTCTTCTTATCTATTGTTATATATTGTCCATTATTGGTTATAAAGTGATAAAAGTGTAATAAAACAGTGAGTCTCACCGGTTCCCAGAGTCCGGACGTCCACATCCTCTCTGCCAGACGAGGAGAAATTAAACCCTGTGAGAGAATAAATAAAGAACATTATCACTTACCATACTAAACTCTGTCCTCCAGCTGCAGATACTCAGAGCTTCAGATACTCAGAGCTGCAGATACTCAGAGCTGCAGATACTCAGAGCTGCAGATACTCAGAGCTGCAGATACTCTGAGCTGCAGATACTCAGAGCTGCAGATACTCAGAGCTGCAGATACTCAGAGCTGCAGATACTCAGAGCTGCAGATACTCAGAGCTGCAGATACTCAGAGCTGCAGATACTCAGAGCTGCAGATACTCAGAGCTGCAGACACTCAGAGCTGCAGATACTCAGAGCTGCAGATACTCAGAGCTGCAGATACTCAGAGCTGCAGATACTCAGAGCTGCAGATACTCAGAGCTGCAGATACTCAGACTCACCTTCAGATCTGAAGGAGGAGAGGACCGACTCAGCGATCAGCTCCTCCACCGACGACTCCATCCTCCGCTCACCGTCGATCACCCAGGGAGTCTGAGGCAGGCTGCGGCTGTACTTGTTGTACCTCCCTGAACAACAGAGAGAACATCAGGAACAACATCAGGAACAACAACAGGAACAACATCAGGAACAACAACAACAACACCAGAGGCCTGTACTACGAAGCCGGATTTTCTTAACCTGGATATGTTTGAGTTAGCCGGTTGGCCCAATCCAAAACATACGCTCTCGCTAAGCTGTCCTACGACGCTGGTTATCAAGTGGATCGCTCAAGCCAGCCGTGTCCTATCTAGTTAGGTGCGCGTTCACATGAAAGGGGTGGTATTTGGAGCATTCGACCAATCTCAAACACGGACAACCGTACTGACAGCGCAGCGTCATACTTCCTGAATGAAAAGTGAACTTTAATATTAGTCAAATATGAAGAAGTTAAACTTTAAACATCCATGACTTAAACACTTTACCCAGGATAAAAGCCACATAGCTGCACCTGCAAGGTGAATACAGCTGGTAAAAGAAAAAGTGTTTGAATGCGTACATTAACAGGTTTATGAAATCACTGCCCCGTCTAAGACACGATCTGACTTTAATTACATTTGACTCGAGTGTTTCGTCAACTTAATGTGTTTCTTAAAATAATACTTCTGCATACAGTATGTGACACTGTGAGTGTTGCACGGCCAGATACGGCTCAAGAAGCTGACTCAAATAAGGAAATATATGATACATTATGATGTGATATGATATGAATGATAATGGGACACATCGACGTCTGCACTCACAGTGCCGCGGACTGTACTTAATGTTACTCTGATCCGGTTACTTATGTCGTGGCAGATATTTAAGTAAGCTTTCTTAACGCTAATGTTATAATAGTCAGATTGCTTTGAAGATGGGAGGGGATATTCTATTAATTTTCACGTTCACACAGTCAGTTGATTTTTGCCGGCCGTCTTTCCTGCAACGGCAGTTTTTCTGTATTTCCTCTATCCTGTAATATGACTTGATAGCTTTAAACTCTGCACACGGAGCTCTGATTGGTCAGCAGGCGGTGCTTTCACTGAGTTGATCTCTGAGCCTGCCACCTAACCTGCTCCGGAGGAGGTTAGCCGCTCAGCATAAGTTACCATGGAGATCTAGCTCGCTAAAAAGAGAACCAGCGTCGTAGGACTGGAAAGCCCGAGTTTTCCCTGAAGTTAGCCGGCTAAGCAAAAATCCGGCTTCGTAGTACAGGCCTCAGGAACAACAACAGGAAGGACAAAAAACAGAACTTATTGTCCCTCCCTGAACAACAGGAACAGTAAGAAGACCCAGTTTCCATTGTGTGTTTATGTGTGTTGGGTGGGGACAAAGACTCTGTTTGTTCATATAATAAAGGAGCTTTATTGCCATGACTATATCTAATAAATAAGTAAATAAAGAATAAATAAATGTGAAGTAGTTATAGCTGAAAAATAATGTAAATATGTTTTAGTTTTTAAATGTCATTAATATCTCTCCCTGTGTGTGTGTGTGTGTGTGTGTGTGTGTGTGTGTGTGTGTGTGTGTGTGTGTGTGTGTGTGTGTGTGTGTGTGTGCGTGTGTGTGTGTGTGTGTGTTTACCTGCTACAAACACACACTGGTGGAGGCACTGGACGTCCTGCGAGCTGCAGCTGCTGGTCGGCCTCGCTGGTGGACAAGCGAAATGTCTGACAAATAAAAACAGCTATAATTATTTCAAACAGCACTTTATTAATTAAATAAATAAAGAACTGTAAGATCTGAAAGGGGGAAACTTACGTTAGAAATTTGGTGTCAGAAATCTTTTCCAGAGCTTTGACCACCGCCATCCTGGTGAACACCGACTGCAGGAAGAGAAACACACGTGTTTTAATCAGCGCTATAATATCTGTGCCTCACTGAACCGGTTAGAGCCAGTATTTTGTTTATAAAAAGGGCCGCCTCATTGTGACGTCTGTAGTCAATTAGGTGTAAAGGACTACAATTCCCACGACGCCTCCGTCACAGACACTAAGATGGGCAACCTGTCGGAAAGACGCCGTCGAGGCACAGTTTTTAACCGTAAAGTTACAGAAGCCTATCCTTAGAAAGAAAGAGAGAAAGAAAGAGAGAAAGAAAGAACACCTAAGTTGAGTTTTGCCTCTTTTGTTTGATTTGTCTTGACTACTGTAAAGGCCTGTTTTCTTTGTTGAATGTGTAAAAAGTGTATTATTTTATTTAGAGTAAACGCAAAACACAGTATCATCACACCACCGGAGGCTAAGCAAGTCATCCATAAACTAATCTTATGGAAGGAAACGCGTTAGAAGTGTCTGTAAAAGGCATCCAAGTGGCTTGGATAGAAAGCAAGGAAGGTGATAGAACCTCTAGCCCAGGGGTGCCCACACCTTTTCAGCTTGGGAGCTACTTTTAAAATGACCAAGTCAAAATGATCTACCTACAGCCCAATCTGTGGCCCCACGCAAAGTCATGAGGCCCTCTGTGCCGCAAGCGTCGACAGGGGGTGGGGGTGGAGGGGTGCTAGTGAAATGCGAGGTGAGGTCCCACGTAGTCTGCATGATCTGCGTGTAGGGAGGGGCGGGCCTGTCTACCTACATTAAAAATGCTACACATATATTTATTTATATATATACTGAGTATACCTTATGTTGGTGTACCTTGCATAACTGCATGAACCCGTATGGCACAATACAACTCAGTACATGTTTGGTCATTACGTCAATTTTATACCCTTTCTTTAGTAGAATTGTATAAATTGGAAGGCTAACTAGGTAATCAACTGGCGCGGTTGACCATGCGATCTACCCACACTACCTTTGCGATCGACGTATTGGGCACCCCTGCTCGAGCCTTTCACTAACTATTCAGGAGGAAGAGGAACTTTCTGGTAGTGTTGGTCTAGAAAGACTGACACACATCGCTAAGGGCAAGCGGAAGGACTTTGTTCAGCTCTTGGAGTCGTATATATGCACATTGTGAGGGACTGCCTCTGAAAGGAAACTGTGAAATGATTTTATTTTATTTGTAGGCCTATGCTTCTAATACTGGTGCAAGTTGAGTGTGTGTGCATGCGTGTATGTGTCTGTGATGTACATGGGTTTTGGTTATTGTTCAAAGAGAAAATACCAATAAAACAACTATTCATTAAAGCATGTCCCTCTGTTGCTTCCTCACCTGTTTGTTCTTGGTGGGTCTGAAGCAGTCAGCACACGTTGTCGCTCTGTGAGGAAACAGGAAGTGGAGCATCGTTTAAACACACGTCTATCAAGTGTTAAAGATCAGAGGTCACCTGTGTACTCCTGGTGATCTGTTGGGAAAATACTGAATGTACTCTTCCAATATGAGAGTAATATGATAACAAAGGTATCCCAACTGTAGCTGTGTACATGACAGGATGTATGATCACCTAGAAGAGCATCAGGACTGTTTTAGGCATATGATAGCTATGTGATTAACATGATGATTCAGCCTCTATGGAGAGAGACATATGACAAGCATGATCATTTCTGACGTGGAGCTAATCTGAAGTAAACATTGAATACTGCTTTCTATTCCTCCATCTTGTGACTGTGTAACTCCCTCTCTTGGATATCAGCATGTGAAGGACACTGTTCAGGAACTAGTTGATGCTCTGGATGTGATGACTACTTCCATTCTGGAGAGGATCACAGATACATGGATCCTGAGATTGAAGATCAAGCCGGGGACCAGGGAGGTTTTTCTAACATTATGAATAAAAGAAGATGTATTGTAGGGAGATCTTCAGAGGGAGGAGGACTCACAGGAAGTGGCAGTCAGCGTCCGTCTCCTTGTGGATGAACCCCACAGAGATCTCAAACAAACTCTAAAGAAAAACACAAAAAACAGACTGTTGTTTTAAATATATACACTTGTATTATTTGAATGCGTTATAGGGAGAAAACAGGAATTCAATCTATTGTATACATTTAAATACATATCTATAATAACTACATTTTCAACTTAAAGGTGGGGTAGGTAAGTTTGAGAAACCGGCTCGAGATCGCTAGAATTTGAAAATACACAACCGGAGAAAATCTGCCACTTCCTTACAGAGCCCCTCCTCCAACACACACGAACGCGCACATGACCAATGAGGGCACAAGATAAGTCTGTGCACAGATGGAAGGCTGACAGGCAGGTAGGCCATCCAGTTACTTTAGCCGGGCCGGCTAAAATGATTGGTCGTGCTTTTTACAGTACCACGGCTTCCACAGATGACATTTTTTTTATGGATTTTTTTGTCAAAGCACTTAAAATATTCATTGCTATCGGGATGTTAAGAGCATTCCATGGAATATAACAAAAAGTGTATCTCGAGCCGGTTTCTCAAACTTACCTACCCCACCTTTAATTTTGACTTGTTACCGTATGAAAAAAAAAAAGAATATAAAAAAAAAAAAAAAAACCCGACTGAGTGTTTCTGACGTACCCTGGCAACCACAGCGACACCGCCGATCTCCTTGGCGACCAGACCCTGCAGGACCCACTTGAAGGCCTCCTTCACCTGCACCACGTCGTCCTTATCCACCGCCATGCTCTTCTCCCTGAGAGAGACAACAAGAGGTTAAACTACACCGTGACACTGGACTGATGGGAGGTTTCAAATGGAGAAGATAAGATTCGCTCACCTCAACTCCTTCTTCACATGCAGCCAACAGGAGTGCTGCAGGAGTAAAGACAAAATACATGTTATATTACTTTTCATTAAGCTGATGCAATGGTCTTAGAATAGAAACACCCATCAAGAGGCAAACTGAACATCTTATTATGTCAACATATTGCAACATATTGTCCTCGAAAGTTTTGGAAGTGTTAACTCTCCACCTCCAGCTCTTGAGCTTTTTTCAGCTCCACTCAAATGAACCTCACCTCACAATTTATTACATGGCTTAGTTGAATACTCGATTCTGATTGGTCAATTCAGAACACGTGACACGTTGTTAATCCAGAACAGACAGACCGCTGTCAAGGACTTATTGACCGTTGTTAAGGACGCTCACATCTGCACAAAGAAGTCCGTTCGATTTAACTCTCTAGAGTTTGGCAGTTTCGAACTGACAAGACAAGAGCGACAAGAAAACAGAGGAGAAGTAACGGGGCAGAAACCCTCCTTTTTACGCAACAGTCCAGCCATAGACATTAAACGGCAAAACCTATTCAGTTGCCAGTTCCTTTGGCATCAGGGCAGGGATATCTAGATACTTTCCAAGGTTTGACATAATGAATTGTGCTACTTTTAAAGCAAGCAACGATGTTTTCAAATCTGTAATAAAAAAGGTCCTCAAAAACGCTATCGAAGCAGTTCCTGCCGTTGCCACGTTAGTTCAAACGGTAACAACGGACTATTTTTCTTAGCAGATGCATGTCATTTTAAAGTGGACCTATCATGCTATATTTGAATAATATAGTGTAGGACCATACCTATATAAGGCATATTTATACTTTTTTTCTTTCAAAATACCAAACAGATCATGCATTTTAGCCATGCCTCATTTCGCTCAATTTGACATTTTCTAGCTCTGTTTTTGCAAGGGCAGATTCTGTGAGAACAGCACCATCTACAGGCCTGGCATATGTACTACAGCGTCTCCAGCGCTTTCGAACGGCAATGGCCGTGGTTGTCTCCTCCTGATTGGTGGAGTTGGCCCAATAGCCGTAGCGCCACCGTCCTGACGTCAGGACAGTGTTCAAATCTGGATCAGTTTTTATCAGATCCGTTGCAGCCCCTTTTTTAGAGATTTGGGTATGGAGGAAAATAGAGAGGGTTGTGTTTTCTGACACTTGGTGAGTTCCCTGGAACACCGGGGACACATATTCATGTAGAAAAGACGTACAAAAGTGCATTTTGCATGATAGGTCCCCTTTAAATAAATAATAGCCTACTATTTTTTAAATCAATAAAAACATTTTCTAAATCGATAAAAAGCATTTCAATTAATATTGGGAGTCATATCGTTACTTTGTTGAGAATGTGGCTTCGCGCCGGGCTCCTGATCTGCCTGTCGGGTGTTCTTTTCCCCATAATGACCGCCTCGCTGCACATTATCCCTTACTTAACATGTTAGTGATAAAACAAAATTATATAATATTCTTTGGAAAGAGCTGTTCTACATAACTTCTTTTACTTTTGATACTTTAAGTACATGTTTAAGATAATAATTATTTACTTTTACTTATGTAATGTGTTTAATTCAGGGATTTTAATTGTAATGCAATATCTTCAGACTGTGGTATTTATACTTTAAAGAGGCCTTATTGTGCCTTTGTGTTATATAAGTTTGTGTGCATGTAAATGGTCTGCAAAGGCTAAAATCCCTGTGTTACCTCCAAAGGGAGTTTCTCTCCCACACAGATATTAAAAAAAATAGCTTTTTGAACATTAAAGCATTGAAACATGTCACAGTAGAGACAATAAATACAAACATGACCCTGAAAATGAGCATAATATATCTTCTTTAACCAAATCAAAGTAGGGAGTACTTCTTCCAACAATGGTTAAATCACACACACATCAAACACACCACACACACACTGACCTCGCGGACACACAGCTGAGCGGGCAGAGACACAGACAGAACCAGAGTTTCAAACTCGTAATTTTCTGCCTTCACCTTCTCCGCTATCTGTGAACACAAAACATCAAGATCATCTGACGCAAGATACAATCTGACAATGTGTGTGTGTGAATATGTAACTGCACACACACCTTCACGGCCTGAGACGTGCCACAGAGTTCCTGTAGGATTCCCAAACACACCACACACACACTCGGCTCCTCCGTCAGTTTCTCCTCGGCAGCGGCTTCCTCTGACGGAGCTTCAGTCCCGCTGAGCTCCAGTTTCGCTCTTTTGCTCGGCGGGTCATCGGCTGGTTCATCAGCTGGTTCTGGTACTGTTGCATCATGGGATTTGTTGTTTTCTTCTGTGGAATCTGCTGCTACTGAATCTTGGGATTTGCCGTTCTCTGTGTTCCCGATGAACGCTTGAAGTTCTTTGAGTGTTTCCTGGTGATAAATGACACGATGCAGGATGGATCAGCAAGTTACTAGCAAAAGAGGGTGCACATAGACTGATTCATATTTTTTAAATATTTGTTAATGTTATCATAGTTTTCTATCTGTGTTTTTAACTTTTGTTTTACTTTTATGTACACTATGCACCACGACACCAAGTCAAATTCCTCGTACGTGTGAACCTACCTGGTAATAAGCCTGTTTCTGATTCTGATTTATATGAGGGTGCCCCAGGACTTTTCAAAGGCTTATAATTAAGTCTAGCAGGTGAGTGTTACCTGGTGGGGCTTCCTGTAGGCGGCCTGGACGCTCACGCAGCAGAACCTGAGGACGCAGCGAGCGCAGCAGCCGGCCGACAGAAGCTTCTGGACCACGGGTTTATCTTTCTCCTTCAGAGGCAGCATGACTCCAGTCTGCAGGAGGGGGAAGAGACGATGGTTAGGAAACACAGGATGATCAGGGCTGGATCACATGACAGTTAGTGACTAAGTATGCATGTCGTATACAAACAAAACTTCTGGTTAAACCTTTCGAAGTGTGAGAATTAAGAGCTTATTTCCGTATCCTTATATAGCTTCTTTGATATGGACAGATATATAGACACACTTGAAACCTCTATCATATATCTATATACATATCATCTAGATATATCTACCTATCTATATACAACATGCCTTCAGCTTCCATTCCCAGATCCAGCTCCAGTGCTTACACTTAAATAACCTTCTATCTGTTGTAATTGTACTTATAAGTTGGAAGAATAGTTTTGCCAGAGCAACACTTGTATTGTTAATTTCAGCTTGTTAATAATAACATTTTATTTATAGCAAGGTGCTCATAGAAACATGTTAAAATGTATAAATAATTACAATAACAGCACACACACATTTTAAACTACACAATAGAGGCAGTATAGACACGTTGTGCTTGTGCCTATACTGCCTCGATTCCTTACTTCTTACTTGCTACCCCTTTCCCTCAACCTATCCTAAGGGAGTCCATGTACGTAGACACGTTAGTTTAGCTGCTATAGGCTTAGACTGTCGGGGGACACCTTACTTCTTCATCTCTCTGTCTGTACCTGTGTACTCTCATGTTCCGAATAACCCAGCTTCCCCCAAATTTCTTTTTGGTGTCTATCTACGCCGGGATCCTGAGTCGTGGCTGATCCTGTTGCTGTGGTCCTGTGTCCTGGATCCTCTATCCTGAGTTCTGGATTTGAGTCCTGGACTTCGAGTCGTGGCTGAACCTATCACTGTGGTCCTGCCTGACTCTCATCATACTACTTCCCTGATGGCTCCCACAGGATTATGGACATCCTCGTGGATTAATCTTCTTATTATAGACACATGCATTTCCAACATTTGGTCTACCTATGTTGTAAATGTATTATCTCTTCGATTTACACACGGCATCTATTGCACGTCTGTCCGTCCTGGGAGAGGGATCCCTCTGTTGCTCTCCCTGAGGTTTCTCCCATGTTTCCCTTTAAACTGTGGGGTTTTCTCTGGAAGTGTTTCCTTGTACGATGTGAGGGTCTAAGGACAGAGGGTGTCGTATTGTCATACTGATATTCTGTACAAACTGTGAAGTCCACCGAGACAAATGTAACATTTGTGATATTGGGCTATATAAATAAACATTGATTGATTGATTGATTGATATTGTGCACTAATCAAAGAGAAAGGGAACCTGTTCCTTTTTAAATCTGCACATATTTTGGTTCAAAACAAACCCTTCATATGAAATAACATCAATGTATAAGACCTTAAATCATTGCACCAGTATAGTCCTCTATAGATATATGACTGTGACCATTCAAGCTTTTGTGGGAGGAGATTATAAACATTTGAATGGATCTGTACATGATGTATATCATCAGCTTCTGCACGAGAGACTGAAAACAGCCGCTGAAGCAAAACCATGCTTGTTTTCAACCCAGACTCTGCTAAGCTAACTAAGCTAACATTGATCCATAAAGAGAGGTATTAGACACACACAGCACAGCGAGCAGCTGCTCAACACAGGAAACACACCTACCGATCACTGATGTGGTGAATTCACGAAGATATAAGGAAACAAAAACAAGACAGAGCTCAGTTACTTCAGGTACTTGCTAACATGTTTCATCCTGAATGCTATCTCTGCTACAACAGACCAAGATAATCGAAGCCAGATCCGTTTTTATTATTTGCATTATACAGTTTCAACTTTAGAAATAAATTAGAGGCTACACTAATCTGCATATCATCCCCTATTATCTAAATGTACAATCTGGACAAAAAGTTAAATATTTGACACTTAAATAGATTTACTCAAAAAGTGTTCTTAAGTACAATTTTGAGGTACTTTACTTGAGTATTTCAATGTAAAGCAACGTTGTACTTCTACCCCACTTCAGTTCAGAGGTAAAGGGGTGTACTTTTACTCCACTACATGTATTTAATACCTTTAGTTACTTTTCAGATGTGGATGAATGATGTGAAATATAATCAAGTGTTAAATCAGACTTTAGTTCCACCTGGAGTAAATTCACAAGCTACTCTGTAGTATACAAAGTCATTCAAACTAGCTGCACCTTTACCAGCTTTGAGAGCACTTTAATGATCAATCATTATAAAACATATCATATATATTATTCTGAAATGGACCAATCTGCACAATCACTACTTTTACTGTCGCTACTTTATATGTTGATGCTAATACTTTTCTACTTTTAGTTACATTTTGAATGCAGGATTTTTACTTTTACACTTTTACACTCTGGTACTTCTACTTTTACTTAAGTACAAGATCTGAGTACTTCTCCCACCTAAATATCAATATTCCAATGACTTGTATATAGACTGTTCTGCACTATTTCTATTATATCATATTTTATTTTATTTACTTGCACTATTTTATCTGTTTTATTGTGTCGCACTGTTGGAGGAGCCTGTGACCTAATATTTTAATTGTCATAACTACACTGTAGCTATGTACACATTACAATAAAAGCCTGTGATTCGATTCTCTCAGATCGGCAATCGACGCGTGATGTCTTAAAACGTCATCACGTCGCAGTTTGACAGCCTCTTCCTCTCTACGCAGCAACCGAACGCTCTCGAAGGTTCTGACTGCGACACCGGGTGGAAATTAACTTTCTATCTGAGTCCATCCGCAGCCGAACCGCGGTGTTACAGCTCCGGAACATCAGCGATTCCCTTCTCCATTATTCCCTTAACATTTACCACCGATTATTAGGTAAAAAATGCCTGAAGCGATGGGATCAATGAGAGCCTCAAACATGGGGAGAAACAAAGGAGGGGCGTATGTGGACCGCGACAAGCCGGCCCAGATCCGCTACAGTAACATATCTGCTGCTAAAGGTAAGATTGAATAATATCAAATATATGTGAAACTGCTAATATCCTGCACTAAACCTCACATCCTTAAAGTCTAGTATCTCATCTGTGGGTAGGGAACCGTTATTCAGTCTCATTAGCTTCAACCAACATCTCTCTTTTTATCAGCCATATTTTATGATTTAAATAAAATAACTGCTAATTTAGGAATTGTTTTTTAATTCAAACTAATCCCCTTTGTTATTCTGCACATGTGACATGCACCGGTTCCTTATTTCTACTTAAATTGTCCCTTAAATTGGGGTGGCTTCCCTCAAAGCTCTCAGTGTAGCTTCTAGTAGCTTCTAGTAGCACGAGACAGCAATTTTAAAGCAAAAACGCACTACAGTTCATTTAAAATGTGTATAATGTAGTTAAAATGGCTAATATCCTGCGCTAAACCTCACATCCAAGTCTAGTATCTTAGCTGTGGGCAGGGCACCGTTATTCAGTCTTATGAGCCGAAATCTCATTATGAAAAGTCGTTTTTTAGCAGCCTTGCTATGTGATTTAAAGACATAACTGCTAATTTAAGTTGTGTTTTTTTTATTCAAACAAATCCCCTTTGCTATTCTGCACATGTGACATGCACCAGTTCCTTGTTTCTACTCAAATTGTCCCTTAAGTTGGGGTGGCTTCCCTCAAAGCTCAGTGTAGCTACTAGTAGCATGCAGCATGAGACAACATTTTTAATGCAAAAACGCACTTAAGATAAGATAAATTGCTTATAGTGCAGTTGAAACTGCTAATATCCTACACTAAACCTCACATCCTTAAAGTCTAGTATCTTGGCTGTGGGCAGGGCACCGTTATTCAGTCTTATTAGCTTCAACCAGGGCCGACATCTCATTAAGATAAGTCGCTTTTTAAGACACATTATGTGATTTAAAGACATAACACTTTGGCGGCTAATTTAAGAGTTTTTTTTTTAATTCAAACAAATCACCTTTGCTATTCTGCACATGTGAAATCCATCAGTTCCTTGTTTCTACTTAAATGGTCCCTTAAGTTGGGGTGGCTTCCCTCAAAGCTCTCAGTGTAGCTTCTAGTAGCATGAGACAACATTTTTTATGCAAAAATGCACTTAAGATAAAGTGCTTATACTGTAGTTGAAATGGCTAATATCCTGCTCACAGCTAAACCTAGTATATTAAGCTGTGGGCAGAGGACCGTTATTCAGTCTTATTAGCTTTAACCAGGGCTGAAATCTTATTAAGATAAGTCGTTTTTAACAGCCTTTTTATGTGATTTAAGAACATAACATATTAGGCACTAACTTAAGAGGTGTTTTTTTTAATTCAAACTAATCCCCTTTGTTATTCAGCACATGTGATATGCACCATACTTTTGTTTTAATGCTCATTTAACTCTATTTTGGGTGGCTTTCAGTGTAGCTTCCAGCAGCTTGAGACAATATTTTTAATTCAAAACGCACCAAGACTCTTGTGTCTCTGCAAGATGCTCATGACTCGACACAATCTCAGTTTTAGCTCGGGGGCCTTAAGTGATGCACACTGAGCCATATATGGACCGGAGCTAAGCTGCAAATGAGACTGTAGTCAAATGTGTTTTTATATTATATACTGGGTTTTTCAATGAATAAAACTGTAACACAGGAGGATACATAGGCACATACAATCATAAAAGTGCATCACAGATTTCAAGAGTTATTAGATGTCTAGCTGATGAACCTGATGGCCTTTTTGAGGGATGCATTTCCCATTTAATTTTGTTGGTCTTGCTTGTGAATTATTGATGTGCTTTGTTCATTATATTATCCTGAAACCTGGAGATGCAATGTTGTCTAAGACCAACATTTATATTAAAAGACACGTTATTTATGTCAGCTTTATTTGTTGAAGCAACCCCAATAAACAAAAATGGATATAGTGGATTTTGATTCATCCTCCCTATGAGAACCATGAATGTTGAAGTTATTATTTTCATATATGACACACATACATATTGAAGCCTAAAGATGCAATATTTACTATGTGTACTAAGACCAAACGTAACAATTCAAATCTGTTTTTCGTGTCAGCTTTATGCGTTCTAGTAAAATAATGTGTTTTTGATTCCTCATGCTTATGAACCATGCACGTTATCATTTTCTCTATACTGACCCATCCCTTGTTTGTGTGGCAGCTGTTGCAGATGCCGTCAGAACCAGCCTGGGGCCCAAGGGCATGGACAAGATGGTCAGTACACATATTTCTGTCTCAATGCTAACTTTACCCAGCTGTTGTGTCATACTCGTGATCCTAAAGCAGCTGCTCTTTGTCTCAGATCCAGGATGAGAAGGGTGATGTGACCATTACCAACGATGGAGCCACCATCCTGAAGCAGATGCAGGTCCTCCACCCGGCCGCCAAAATGGTACGTAGCACTGTCTGATGGTGTGGATCCTTTTGCATCTAAAACATGGATGCTCCCTTTTTTCTTTTTCTTTTTTATAAAGCACCATTTACAGATCTATACCTTTTCAGTCTCATCAGCTTCAACCAGGGCGGAAATCTCATTAAGAAAAGTCGCTTTTTAACAGCCTTATTATGTTATTTAAAGACATAACTGCTCATTTAAGGGTTTCTTTGTAATTCAAACTAATCCCCTTTGCTATTCTGCACATGTGACATACACGTTAAAATATGTATAATGTTGTTAAAATGGCTAATATCCTGCATAAAACTCTCCCATATGAGAGGTTTGACCTGATTTGAGATACATATTGATGGACTGCTCATTTAAAAGTTGTATTTAATGTTATGTTTGTGTTTTGTAGCTGGTGGAACTATCCAAAGCCCAGGACATCGAGGCTGGAGACGGCACCACCTCTGTGGTTGTGATTGCTGGAGCGCTGCTGGAGGCCTGCTCCAAGCTGCTGCAGAAAGGTAGGAGCTGAAACACATTGAACCAGACACAAAACTAACCCTTATTCTAAATGCTTATCTCTGCAGTTGTGCTTTGCTATGGAGGACTGATGTTTCAGCAGTTTAATTAGCAAACATAAGTGGAATGAATCACAATTTTCGGCAGTATCCACCTGTTTTTCTGCTCAGTTTTATTTCAGGCAAGTTAGTGGGGTAGTGAGAGGGGAAAACTGTCATGTTGTCTGCATCAAAGACTGTTGATTAGACTGTTTAGTCTCAATCTTTAGAGCTAAAACCAGATAGTATTTGGCATTTTTTGTTAATATAAGAAGTACTTTATTTATGCCAATTTGGGAAATGTTTGTGTTGCTGCAGCTGCAGCATAAAAATACATGGCATTGTACAATATAAATTAAAAGACAAGAAATAAACAAGAAAGTAGAAAATATACATGTTGAATTTACAAATTATTAACAATAACAAGATATAAAGCAAGGTATTATATATAACACGCATACATACATGGTTGTTCAATGACTAGTACAATCAAGCTACAAACACATTTGACTTATTAGTGTTGATTTGAATAGTTCTCAGTACTCATGTTTGACATGTTATCCCCGGTTCAGGTATCCACCCCACCACCATCTCTGAGTCCTTCCAGAAGGCGGTGGAGAAGGGCGTGGAGGTTCTGACGGGGATGAGCCGGCCGGTGCTGCTGAGCGACCGCGAGACGCTTCTGAACAGCGCCACAACCTCTCTGTGCTCCAAGGTGGTGTCGCAGTACTCCAGCCTGCTGGCGCCCATGAGCGTGGACGCCGTCATGAGGGTCATCGACCCTGCAACCGCCACCGGGGTCGACCTGCACGACATCAAAATCATCAAGAAGCT